ATCAGTGGCCGCCGTGCCGAGTGGACCCAGTTGGACTCTACCCCTTCTAAGCGAAATTAAAATTAATTACGGTCTAGAAAACCGAGATTAAAGGCCGTGAGGATTCGTTGCACTGACGACGCGACACTCTCTATCCGCTAAAGTTGGGACTAACTTCACCGAGAAGTGACGGTCTCTCGGCCGGTATAGTTCGCTTGCGGACTACAAGCCACGGAGTTATATATATATACATTATATAAAAAGAAGGACCTACGTATTCTTGGAATCAAATAAGACGGATATGTTGCGATGCAACGGATTGAGCGAAACTGGTTCCAAGCAAAATAGTGAGTGGTCTCGTGTGTTAAAATTATCAAATTTGGGGTTCTAATAGATAATGTACTTTCGGTAAGACCGTTTCAAATTCATGTTTGGATTATCCAATGTGTATTGCATGTGAATAATAAATAATAACTCGCATATTCCCTTTCATGTTTATCTGTCGTATAGCAAGCCTCTATACCCCCAGAGTCCGGTAAATAGCGTGACTCGTCTTACTACAGAACTGAAACTTTTGGAATAATAAATTTTGAAAGAGACGTTCGCTTGTGTCTGACCCATACGTCGGACACTGGCTATTTACTCTTTTGTTCATATTTAATGAACTATACACGGAGCATCACTTTTACAGCGTGTAATAGTACTGACTTATTATTAGTTTGTTTTCCACAACAGGAATTGTCCATTTGGGGTGAAATGTTCTTCCAGATTACATCAGCTACTGTCTATATCCTAATAAACAAATAAATAGGCTATCAGATGTGAAAACATTTAATCAAAATGTACGATACTGAAGCTGGAAAGTTACATCTCCTGAGATATAACACCAATTAGTGTGGTTTCGGAGGAACGTGTAGCCCGCTTCATGCTGGTTTCTTGCTTGGTCGACTCTTCGACGCTGGTGATGGAGGCGAGATGTACCTTCGACGAGTCGGGCTCTCCCCGAGCTACAATCCAAAAGACCGTACTCTTCATAGTCACTGCTGTGAGTACCTCAAATCCAACATCTATCACACTGCCCTTGTACGAGTATATTGTGCCTAACCACTTCGCCTCGATGGTGGATTCAGTGAGGACATCCGAGTTGTGGGCAGTACAACACGCCACCAACAGAAAACAGTACTGTACCGCTGTTGAGGTACACGGCGCTCCTTCAGAACCTAAAACCTTGTGTGGTCTGTTGTTTCTTTTTACAAGCAGTGACTGTCATTGTTCCATTGCTTACTGAAGTACTGGGAGTGAGAGCCACACACATTTATGTTTTCTGTGAGTTTCGAACTAAATATTTAAAGCTGGCCACAAAGCATTCAATAATAGTTCCCCACTCCCGCACTTCTGTGGTTGTATCCTCGGGATTGGGAAACCTCCGAAATGTTGATCTTTGAAAAGATTGGTAGATCTCTTTGGTTGCCCCTAAAATGTATAAAAAATAAGCAACTTTGGTAAATATGCATGAACATGAAGGTGTAGCACGAATTGGCATTTACTTACAATATACTGAGAACACGGACAGTAGTCCCAAAGATTAACCCCCCCCCGCCACCAACTTCAGTTTCGGACATTCACGCTCCCCACTACAGCATGCTTCGCTATGTTCCCGTCGAGCTGTCCAGCCAGTCTGTCGGCAGGAATGTTGGTACTGATAATCTTCACAGGCTAGTTGTGTGTGTTATGTTGGTTTCTTGCTTGGTTTAGTCTTCGATACTGAAGATGGAGGCAATATGCTCCTCCGAACTGTCTATTGATTTTCGTTGGTCTATAAGTCGTTATACCATGAGAGACAGAATTCTTCATTGTCACCGCTGTGTGAACCTTGATTCTAAGCTATTAAACCTGTTATTAAACAGCAGGTTAAGCGACATTTTTATAATTTCGTTACATTTTAGTTTCTCAGTAAAACCGTGAACTTAGAAGTCCCTTTATCATTGAAATAATTAAAATAAGATTTTCTGAGGATTAAATGCATATCAGGCCTTACAAGGAGCTGCTGGAAATGTAAACATAAGGCATTCGGTTTAAAGGTTTCCACCTATAAAAACAGTCTAACATTTATTCTGTGTTAAAATTTCGGAAGATGTGGAGTTCAAGATAAAAAAAACACAGTGTCTCTTAGTCCAAAGCAACTACGCTCAGTTGTATCCTTGCACACGGCCTTTTACAGTTCAATGATTATTGGAGTTGCTTCCAAACAGGAGGAAAACTTCTCTGACAAATATGTTTCCTTTCTCGCAGCGAATAAAGTTTCTTGCCGTCAGAATTCATCCAATCGTAAAGCTGGTATAGAAGAAGAAGAAGCTCTTTAGAAGCCCTCGCTAAAATAAAATTACAAAAAGAGTCTTGGATACTTTGTCATTTTGAGAAATAAAAGAAAACAGGAAAATTAGAATAACTGAAGCCCCTAGTAGCCCGACCTAATTCCTCAATGATTTCTTTCAAACTGAATCGATCTGGCGCAATGCCCAGGGTTTGACTTCATGTGGTATACCTGGGAGGAAGTCTCCCAGTATACGGTTGCCGAAATCATCTCACGTAGGCAGATCACAGCCATCTCCTCGCCTCCCCAGATAAGTAAACTATACAGGGCCTAGAATTTATTCCGTCATTTATTAGATCATGTAATACGAGTATTTCCACGTGTGATAAAATGGAAATGAATGAGAATAAAGAATAAAATAAGGATTTATACAGTGTTAAAGCCGATTATAGTGGCCGCGCGGTCTAAGGCATGAACTCTCTTCGCTCGCTCGAACACTGGGATCATAGGTTCGAATTCCACTCAAGGAATGTATGTTTGCTTACGTTCATTCTATGTTTGTGTGTAGGCAGCGGTCTTGCGACTGGCTGATCACTCGTCCAGGGAGTTCTATCAACTGTCTAAGATTAAGAAACCGAAGTGAAAAAAAAAAGTTTCACCGATTCCTTGTGCACCAAAGTGGGAACAACAGGAAGAAATAGATAGATAGATAATTACTAGAAATACGAAGTTAGAAATGCCGGGGAAGACATCGTCTTAGGACAGTCCATCCGGGAGCCTCCGTAATACAAGTCATAAGAATATTTGATCAACTTGCTCTGTTGTTAAACCTGAAAAAGAGGAATGGACCCAATATGAGAGAGTCAGGATTAATGTTTCTTTGACGAGAAGAACGCTCCTTCTTCTCGCTCCGATTCACTGAGTCGGTTGACGCATGAGAAATGCCTATACGATTGATTTTAAATATGATCTAATTTTAGGCGACATTCATGAGCCCGTTGCTTAAGGTATACGTCAAAATCAATAGTACGCTCGTACCTTGCTATTTGCCGGCCGGCCGACCGCCTGGCTATAACATTGGCCCTGACTTTCATTCGCCCAGCACATGGGTGCAAGTCTGAGAGAGGCACTGAGAATTATGCTTTGAGTCCGAGCTTCTGAACAAGAGGGATTAAAATGCACTATGTCAGCGGAGGGCCTAGAAGTCCCAGAGTTATTATGCTGCTCATAAAGCTATTAGACGCACCGGAGTTTCTATATAAGGTATAGTAAATAAGAATACTGTAAAACGCTAAGAATGCTATGAAAATGTCATTTAATAATTTATTGCATTAAATTTAATCATTAGAAGTGAGTCATTCGGAAGATACTATATTAATATCTGTAGTAAAAGGAGCGTACTCTCACGTGTGGGAACTGGGATAGCGCAGTCGGTATAGCGATTGGCTACGGGCTGGACGGTGGGGTCAAGAATTTACTATTCTCCACGTCCTTCAGACGATTTCTGGGGCCACCCAGCCTCCACTGACCACTCACCTCCAACTAGTGCCGAGGTCAAGAAAATGTGGATCTATACATCCACTCCCCCATATGTCTTCAAGGTGTAGTGCTTAATTAGTTACGCACAGAATTCGTAATTGCAAGTAATTATAATGCTATCCCTCTTCGACGAGGGAAGAGCAGAGAAAACGCCGTTCGTGTTTCTCTCTCATGTAAATACGGGTATCGCCCGCGAAGAGAGCGAGTTGAATGCCAGGTGCTTCAGAGGCATCATTTATATACTGACCGTACAACACTGGGGCAAGGACGGAACCTTGAGGCACGCCTACCGCTATTTTTCTCGGAACAGAAAATTCGCCATCTACCAAGACTTTAAATTTTCTGCCAGTGAGGAAAGAAGCAGTTAGCTTAATGAGACTTGTTCGATAAATTCGAATTCTGACGATTTATATAGCAGGCCAGAGTGCCATGTTGTGTCCAAGGCTTCCTCGATATCCAAGAACGCAGCAGCCGTCGACATATTATTGTTGAAATGTAGGATGACGTGATCCACCAGCCTCCTACTTTGAAGTGTCGCACTGTGACCTATTCGAAAGCCAAACTGACTTACATTTAACAAGTTCCTATCGTAAGCGTGTTTTTGGATTGTTCTTAAAATCAGCTTCTAATAGAATTTGCACGTAGTAGACAAGAGGCTGATCGGACTTATTTTTTTTAGGGGGGGGGATTTTGGGACTTTTCCTGGTTTTGGCAGATTTATAATTTTTGCCTCCTTCCAAGGTGCAGCGAAGTGACCAAGCCGAAGCCAGTGATTGAATGAATGTGTTAATGCTCAAGAGATCTTCTTGGAAGATGCCGG